AGGAGGAGGAGGAGGAGGAGGAGGAGGAGGAGATTGGATTGATACCCCACCCTTCACTACCCAAAGGTGTCTCAGAGTGGCTTACAAACCCCGTTCCCTTCCCCTCCCCACAACAAACACCCTCCCTGAACCCTCCAACCCTGAGCCCTGACAAGAGCGTGGATTAGAACTGGACACCGAACGTCAAGTGAGAAATTTCTCACAGAACTTCTATACCTCTTCTGATCTAGCGAGGAGGGCGTTTTCGTAGTCAATTCTATAGTGGATCGCAGCAGCACGTCCCGGCAACAGAAGAGAAACGTCCAAATTCAGGTCCTTACGGAGCGGGATGTCCGTCTGGTACTGGGCAAGAGCTTGGAACACCATAATAGTTGACTGCAATTGGAGGGAGAAGAGAGAGCGAGTGAGGAACCCCTCGCAGCAGAACTCTCAACACGGCCCTTAGCCCGGAGGAACGGAAGGTCCGTGGACACAGGATATGCTGGGCGCATTGTGGCGCACTGGAGCAGCTTCATACTTCAGGCAGTGGGCAAGTTGGATCCAGGCACACTGGTCCCTTGCAGGTGTTTCCTGCAGTGCATATGTCAACAGGGGGCGCAGCCACCAAGACTCTAATCCAGATCCGGGCCCAAAATGCGGAGTTGCCCTGAATGCATGAATAGTTTGGTAACCGGAGGACGTTGTTCCAAAGTATTAATTGGGGGGAATTCCCTCTCTGATCCCCAACTCTCTAATTACATTATAAAGTAACGATTCATTCTTTTTTTGCCCTCCTCTTTCATTTCACCTGGGGAAGGGGGACAGTTGGGAGGGCGAGGTGTGAACCCTTCTGTGAACATAAGAACATAAGAGACGCCAATGTTGGATCAGGCCAAAGGCCCATCCAGTCCAACACTCTGTGTCACACAGTGGCCAGAAATACCAGGTGCCATCAGGAGGTCCAGCAGTGGGGCCAGGACACTAGAAGCCCTCCCGCTGTTGGCCCCCCCAAGCACCAAGATGACAGAGCATCAGTTGCCCCAGAGCCCCTATCTATACCTTGTGGCTAATAGCCACTGATGGACCTCTGCTCCATATGCTTATCTAATTCCCTTTTGAGGCCGTCCATGCTTGTAGCCGCCACCACTTCCTGTGGCAGTGAATTCCAAGTGTTAATCACTCTGTGGTGTGAAACTCCCTAAAGGAGAAGCTAACATTACAGGAGGGAGCCGTATAAGTTGCAGTTGGGAGCTGGTGAGACTAGGGTTGCCAACTGCAGGTTTGGAAATTCCTGGAGATTTGGGGGCAGAGCCTAGGGAGGGCAGTGTTTAGAGGGAGGGGGAGAGACCCCAGCAGGGATGTGACGGCATAGATCCCACCCTACAAGGGAACTGATCTCTGTCATCAGGAGAGGAGCAGTAATCCCGGGAGATCTCCGGGCCCCACTTGAAGTTCTCACCAGGGGTCATTTAGTAGAAAAAGAGGTGCAGGAGCTCATTAGCATAACTCATTCGCATAACTCATTTCCATATGCCACACCCCCTGACATCACCGGAAGTGTGTCAGAAGGCAACACCCACCGCTCAGGCTCCACTGGACTATTTTGGATTGCTAGCTATTGGCGGGGGGGGGGGGGGTGCGGATCTAAAAAAGAGGGAGAGCTTGTACCTGGATAAAACTTGGGTCTTAAAGGTGGCACTGGACTGTTTTGGGCTGGGGGGCCGGGGGGGGGCTCTGCAGCTTACCTGGCTGCTTCTTGCTCTGACTGAGGGCTGCTGGGAGCAGGGGGCGGGGCTTGTTGCATGTGCCCGCCCCCTGGGCTCTTTACTGCCGGAGCTCCACTCCTGTGTGCTCCTGCAGGAAATGGCCCCTGGTTCTCACCCAGCTGGTACAACTGTGTCCTGAGCCTGTGCCATTTCCGAATTGAGATTAAACATGCACTGGACTCGAATGCTCATCTGTAGAAGGAGTTCCTTCCATGTAGAAAACCAGGCTCTCAGGGAAAAGGCCAAGTGTGAACCTTTCTTCCTGGCGGACTAGTTTTCTGTGTGCAAGGTCCCTTTGTGTGGACAGAGGAGCAGTGCGTTATGTGGCCCTCTGCCAGCAGTCTACAGTGGCTCAGCCAGAGGTCGATTTGGGGAGGATCGCGGGGGATTACAGTTCCCCCGGGGTGAGGTACGGGGGGGCTGGGCACATGACGAAGCCCCGCCCCCTGCTTCCGGCCGCCCCGCTTCTGGCCTTCATTCAGCCAGGAGGAGGCAGGAGAAGAGGGAGGATCAGTTGCTTCCTCCCCGCCTCTCCCCACCCCTGCCTGCCTGGGGCCAGGGAGATTCTTGGCGGGGCTTCCTCGCACTCCCTCCGGCCTTGCAGGGCCTTATGATGTCAGGGGGTGTGGCATATGCTAATGAGTTATGCTAATGAGTTCCCCTAGCTCTTTTTCTATGAAACGACCCCTGGGCTTAGCCCAGCCAAGACTAAGAGCGACATCTCAGAAAGACCCAGGGGCTACTGTCCGGTTTGAAGCAGAACTGAGAGGCAACATCTCCTGGTAATCCCTGGCCCAAAGGATGTCCGCCTCGCCTCGCCCGGGGCCAGGGCCTTCTCTGCCCTGGCCCCCACCTGGTGGAACATGCTCCCTATTGAGATCAGGGCCCTGCGGGATCTTACTCAGTTCCGCAGGGCCTGCGAGACGAAGCTCTTCCGCCAGGTCTTTGGCTGAGGTGGCAGGCATCCACATATGCCCCCCCCCCGGTTGCGATTTCCCACCCACTGATAACCGGCCATACCTAGTTACATCAATGGGCCGGATTCTCCCTACGGCAAGCATGACTACTGGTTTGATACATTTTAATGTGTTTTAAATTTTATTTACGAGATGGTAAAGGTTTCCCTTGCTCGAAAGCCAGTCGAATCCGACTCTAGGGTTGCGGTGCTCATCTCCGTTTCAAAGCCGAAGAGCCAGCGCTGTCCGAAGACGTTTCCGTGCTCATGTGGCCAGCATGACTAAACACCAAGGCGCACGGAACGCTGTGACCTTCCCACCGAAGTGGTCCCTATTTATCCACTTGCAATGTCTTGCTTTCGAACTGCTTGGTTGGCAGGAGCTGGAACTAGAGACGGGAGCTCGCTCCGTCATGCGGCACACTCGGGTCTCGAACTGCTGAACTACCGACCTTCCACAGCCTGCAGTTCAGCGTCTTAACCACTTGAGCCACCGCAGCTCATTTACGGGATAGACGGGATATAAATGCGGAAAATAAATAAAAGGTGCGGCTGGACTCGAACGGAGCCGGCTCCCCTTGTCAGAGAAAGCCAAGAAAGCCGGCAAGAGGAAACTGTCCGAAGTTGCTCGAGGGTTGCCAGCCTCCAGGTGGGGCCTATTGACTGACATCCTGACCACAGAAATCATTGCCCCCGGGGGAAACGGCTGCTTCAGAGGATGGACTCTATACCGCTGTAGCTTCCCTGCCTGAATTCTACACTCCCCAAGCTCCGCCCCCAATAACTCCAGAAAATTCCCCACCTTGAGTTGGCAACCCTCTGTAGCCTGCCCCCAAAGGACCGTGACGCGGCCACTGACCTGAGTGTGCCCGTAGGTCCCCCCGTAATACTTCTGCTGGGTCAGCCATTTTACGACGGGGCCAGCCTCGTCAAACTTCTGCAGCTTCAGCAGGGCCAGAAGAGCGTAGGAGGTGCCTTCGATGTTGTAAGTGCGAGCATTGGCCTCTTCCCACCGATCTCCACCTAGATGCAGGGGCGGATTCACCATTAAGCAGACTAGGCACACGCTTAGGGCACCAGGGCCAAAGGGGGCACCACAAAGTTAGGAAAAGGTTGAAAAGCTTAGTTTGTACAGTCTATTGTGTTATCATATGAACTAGGGAGGAAGGCCCGTTGAGAAGGGCGATACAACGGGCAGCTAGCCCCCCCGCTTCCTCCCCCTCCCCGCCCTCTCCCCGGCGGCGGTGCCCCGAGCATGGCTGAGAACCGACTCGCTGGGGGAGGGGAACGTCCGGAGGTTGCAGAGAAAGTTCTCGGTCACTGGGTATTGTCCTACAACGGGCCACTGAAACTGCCAGCCTTTCTTGTCTGAGCCAGGCTGAAGAGGAGGAGGAGGCGGCCGCGAAGGGAGACAGGAGAGGGGCCCCCCGCCTGGCCGATCGTCCGTCCGGGAGGCTGGCTGCGTGCGAGCACGCCCCCCCGGCACAGGCTGAAGAGTCGGAGGCGGCAGCGGGAGCAGGGGCCGGCAGGCAGGCAGGAGAGCGCGGTCCCTCGCAGTCCACGCGCTGTGTCCCCCCGCCCCGCCCGAAGCGTCAGAGGCGGGACGCGGCGTCGGAGGTGGGAGCCATGGGACACGGCCAATGGAAGGCGGGGAAGGCCGTGACGGACCGGTCAGCCGGCCAAACACTGTAGGGGCGCATTTTCTCTCCTGTGCGTGAGTCTGCGTCTTACTGCTTTATAATATAGGGAGGATACATACTCTTGAGAGTCCCTTGGACTGCAAGAAGATCAAATCAGTCAATCCTAAAAGAAATCCACCCTGACTGTTCCCTGGAAGGCCAGATAATGAAACTGAAGCTCCAATACTTTGGCCACCCAATGAGAAGGGAGCACTCCCTGGAGAAGACCCGGATGCTGGGAAAGACTGAAGGTCAAAGAAGACGGGGACGGCAAAGGATGAGATGGTTAGACAGTGTCATAGATGCAACGAACATGAAATTGAGCAAACTTCAGAGGATGGCGGAAGACCGGAAGGCCTGGCGCGATCTGGTCCATGGGGTTGCGAAGAGTCGGACCCAACTGTGCGACTGAACAACAAATGAATACATTTCTGTGTTGCTGCTACCTGCATTGTGTGTATCTGGTCAGACAGGTCAACCACTAAAATGGACTGGGGGTCAGTGTGGAAAGGAGGGGGGGGGAACCAAGATGGGTCAGTGCTGAGGGCACCAGGGAGCCTTCATCCGCCCCTGCCTAGATGTCAACAGAGCAACGTGGAGGTGGGAAATGTTGCCGAGTCCGAGCCGACTCCGGGGCTACGGCTGAGTGGCAGAGCCTCCGCTTGGCGTGCAGAAGGTCCCCGGTTCAATCCCTGGTGTCCCCAGCTAAGGATCAGGTCGAAGGTGATGGGAAAGGCCTCTGCCTGTGGACTTAGAGGGCCGCTGCCAATACTGGCTCTGATGGATGAAGGGTTGGAATCAGTATAGGGCAGCATCACGTGTTCACGTGACTTATGGGGACCCCTGAAGCGGTTTTCAAGGCAAGAGATGTTCAGAAGTGGTTGGCCCTTGCCTGCCTCTACGTAGCGACCCTGGACTTCCTTGGCGGTCTCCCATCCAAGTCCTAACAAGGACCCACCCTGCTGAGCATCTGAGATCTGATGGGATCCAGCCAGCCAGGTGAGGGCAATCGGGCCTCACTAGAACAGACCTTCAGGATACATCAGCTCCTTCTCCTAAGAGAGCCAGTTTGGTGTCGTGGTTAAGTGCGCGGACTCTAATCTGGGAGAACCGGGTTTGATTCCCCCACTCCTCCACTTGCACCTGGCTGGATGACCTTGGGCAAGCCCTAGTTCTGTCAGAGCTGTTCTCTCAAGGGCAGTTTCTGTCAGAGCTCTCTCAGCCCCACCTACCTCACAGGGTGCCTGTTGTGGGGAGGGGAAGGGAAAGGAGTTTGTGAGCCGCTCTGAGACTCCTCTGGGTGGTGAAGGGCCATGGGGTATAAATCCAATCTTTTCTTCTTCTTCCTCTTCTTCCTCACAGGGTGCCTGTTGTGGGGAGGGGAAGGGGAAGGAGTTTGTGAGCCGCTCTGAGACTCCTCTGGGTGGTGAAGGGCCATGGGGTATAAATCCAATCTTTTCTTCTTCTTCCTCTTCTTCCTCACAGGGTGCCTGTTGTGGGGAGGGGAAGGGGAAGGAGTTTGTGAGCCGCTCTGAGACTCCTCTGGGTGGTGAAGGGCCATGGGGTATAAATCCAATCTTTTCTTCTTCTTCCTCTTCTTCCTCACAGGGTGCCTGTTGTGGGGAGGGGAAGGGGAAGGAGTTTGTAAGCCGCTCTGAGACTCCTTTGGGTAGGGAAGGGTCCAGTCCAGTTTGGTGTCGTAGTTAAGTGCGCGGACTCTAATCTGGGAGAACCGGGTTTGATTCCCCACTCCTCCACTTGCAGCTGCTGGATGACCTTGGGCAAGCCATAGTTCTGATAAGAGCTGTCCTTGAAAAAGAGCAGTTTCTGTCAGAGCTCTCTCAGCCCCACCTGTCTCACAGGGTGTCTGTTGTGGGGAGGGGAAGGGGAAGGAGTTTGTGAGCCGCTCTGAGACTCCTCTGGGTGGTGAAGGGCCATGGGGTATAAATCCAATCTCCTCTTCTTCTTCTTTATTGCTTTGGTTTATCACCTGATTTCCACACACCTTTTCTTGTGCCTTTAGTTTCTGCTTCTTTGTCGTTGTTGTTCTTTTCCCGTTCTCCAACCCCCCCACCCCTGTTCTCTTGAGTCCACTTTTACACTGATATTTTTCTGGAAGCCAATTCTGAGTCACCTTTTTCCTCGTGTGTAATGTTTCTGATGGTTTTCTTTGTCCCGCCCACTCCCGCTCACCTCCACCCCAATTTTAAATAATTGGAGTGTCATAATTGGTATCCCACTCCCTCCCCCGGCCCTGAAGAAGAGTGGTTTCGTTTTGATTTTTTTATAAGTAACTGAAATATCGATATATCGATATACCATTGCAATAACATTTTAAGCTGGTTTTCTAAATTCCCAGCTATCATTAAAAATAAAGTAAGTCTCTAGCTTCCTCCCTTGTGGAGATATGCCTTTTTCCTTATATCTCCATGAGGGAGAAAGTTGCCTCTTTTTAAAAAGGAAGGAAGAAGAAGAGATTGGATTTATACCCCAGCCCTTCACTACCCAAAGGAGTCTCAGAGCGGCTCACAAACTCCTTTCCCTTCCCCTCCCCACAACAGACACCCTGGGAGTTAGGTGGGGTTGAGAGAGCTCTGGAAGAAACTGCTCTTTTTTTCAAGAACAGCTCTGACAGAACTATGGCTTGCCCAAGGTCATCCAGCAGCTGCGAGTGGGGGAATCAAGCCCGGTTCTCCCAGATGAGAGTCCGCGCACTTAACCACTACACCAAACTGGCTCTCTACAGAGAAATGTTCTCTAAATCCCCACCTTTCCTACTGCAAAAGGAAAGGTGGGGATTTAGAGAACCTGCTTCCAATTTTAGTGGTTTTTTAAAAGAAAAATGCCGCCGCAGTATTACAAAAAATAAAAAGTGGAGGTGCTGCGACACCCCTTGGAAATCCTGATCATTAAAGGCAAGTGTGCAAGAAGATAAACTGACTCCACAAGTGTGAAAATCCTGGAGGACAGACGTGCAGATTCCAGTGGTTCTGGATCGATTGCCCGGAAAATCAGGAGTAAATAGAGCATGCAGAAAAACCCAGGGAGTTGGAGAGTGCTCCAGAGATTCTTTTTTTTTTTTAACGCTGCCACAGATAGGGTTGCCAAGTCCTACCTCGGGAATAGTGGGGAGAGTCCCGGACGTCTCCTGGATTCTCCTGACGTGCACGCTCTGCGATCACGTCACCCGGAAGTGACGTGATCGCCTTGGGCACATTGGGGGCGGGGCCACAATCATTCGAGGGGAAACCATTGGATGTTAGAGCATTCCCCCCCGCAACGTGCCCGACGCAATTACGTCACCTCCAGGTGACGTGTTTTATTTCTGCCTTAATAAGCTGGAAACTTTCCATCAGGTCTTGCTTGGTTAACGGGCTTGCATTTGGCGCCGCGTTCTGTGTGCCGGTCTCCATTTTGAGCTGCCGGCTCCGGTTTTTCGATTGTCCCCATATGCGCTTAGAACCGCCGGAGAAAGTTTAAATTGCACTTACTGACGCTTCAGTTCTTAAAGCCCGTGTAGATTCTTGTTTAAGCGGGAAATAAGCTCGTTTTCAAAGGTTTCGGCGGGGTTAAAGGCGAGGGAACCCGGGAGATCGCTCACTGGGCTTCCGTCTCGGTTGCGACCGAAGCCCCGCCCCCCACCTCCAGGTGACGTGTTCACGCCGGGCACGTCGCACACTTTGGGGGACTTGGCCAGGGGGACTTGGCCACCCTAGCCACAGAAGACCCTGGACTGCACTGAACGTGGCAGGCATCTGAGTGGAAGCAGATTGTGGCTCTCTTGCCTACTGCTTTTGGCTCGGCTGGTCTTTTCTCTAGGGCCCCCCCGTCCCCTTCAAACCCGCCTCTCATCCAGCTCCCAGAATGAACAGCGTGCCCTCGGATACCATGAATTGCAACCAACGTACCTGTCGATGCTCTCATCAGTACCCTTTCGTGGTTCACATTCCCGGCGAGGACTAAGGCATACGAGGTGAGGGCCACGGTGTAGGGCCTTTCCAGCGTCTCGTACTTCCTGGCCAGGAACTCAGCAGCTTTGGCGATGCTGTTGTCTAAGCTCTGAACAGGAAAGCAAAGCGATCTGCATGTCAGACGGCTTCAGGGACCAATCGTGCTGTACGATCACTTCCTGCTCACCCTCTGCCTGCATGTACGAACTGGTAATTTCCATTTTTGTCTCTGTCTTGACTCTAATTGGTAGGGTTTAGAATAGATAAAAGGAAGTCCTTCTTCACCCAAAGAGTGATGAACACATGGGATTCACTGCCACAGGAGGTGGTGGCAGCTATAAACATGGACGGCATCAAAAGGGAATTAGATAAGCATATGGAGCAGAGGTCCATCAGTGGCTATTAGCCACAAGGTATAGATAGGGGCTCTGGGGCAAGTGATGCTCTGTCTTCTTGGTGCTTGGGGGGGGCCAACAGTGGGAGGGCTTCTAATGTCCTGGCCCCACTGCTGGACCTCCTGATGGCACTGGTATTTCTGGCCACTGTGTGACACAGAGTGTTCTGGCCACTGTGTGACACAGGGTGTTGGACTGGATGGGCCACTGGCCTGATCCAACACTGGCTTCTCTTAGGTTCTTATAAGAGGGAGTTGGATAAGCATATGGAGCAGAGGTCCCTCAGTGGCTCTTAGCCACGAGGTATAGATAGGAACTCTGGGGCTGGGGCAAGGGATGCTCTGTCTTCTTGGTGCTTGGGGGGGGGGGCAACAGTGGGAGGGCTCCTAGTGTCCTGGCCCCACTGCTGGGCCTCCTGATGGCCCCTGGTATTTCTGGCCACTGTGTGACACAGAGTGTTGGACTGGATGGGCCTTTGGCCTGATCCAACATTGGCGTCTCCTATGTTCTCCTAGGGTTGTCAAGTCACTCACTTTGCACAGCAGGGGAGAGTTGGTCCCTGTCCGGGACATTCTCGCGTGTACTTTGCCCATGCGCGCGCCGCAATGACGTCACCCGGAAGTGACGTCATCACATCACATCAGCCTGGAAACTCTTGCTAGAGCGTCGGCCGGTGACGTGCCCAACTTGATGACGTCACTGCCGGGTGACGTCATCGCACCGGAGACTTTGGGGGCAGGGTTCCCCCCGCTGGTCTGATCCGGACCAGTGGGTTGGGGGGCCCTTTCGGCAGGCAATCCCTCGCCCCCCCCCAAGGACCTGGCAGCCCTGTTAATCGGCCCTTCCTGGCAACTAACCCCCACCCCCACCCTCTCTCTTCCTATAGGTAACGGCTGAAGAAATTCTGTTTTAGTGTCCGAAGAAGTGTGTCTTGCACACGAAAGCTTATACCTTGAATGAGACCTGGTTGGTCTTAAAGTTGCTAGTGGACTCAAACTTTGTTATTTATTGGATTCTCTTATACCCCGCCTTTCTCCCCGATGGGGATCCAGGGCAGATTGCACTGTTTTCTTGTCCTCCGAACAACCTTGAGTGCGTGTGACCGGCCAAAGGTCACCCAGCAAGCTTCCATGGCAGAGCAGGGATTCGAACCCGGGTCTCCCAGATCCTAGTCTGATACGCTAAAGTGCTTCACCATGCTGGCTCTCAGTTAACTGTACTTCATTTTGGTAACACCATAATCCTCAGAAACAATGAGAGTCTAGGACTGTAACTCGCAGCTCTAGCAGTGAGTATCAAACACACCGACATTCACAGTTTCCTGCTCCCTGGCCCCCGTAGCCTGGAAAGTAAGGTAAGGTCTCTGCAGAAAGACATCAGAAACTGTCTCTCCCCCCCCCCCCACTCACGCCCAAGCAGCTAATTATTATTTGCAGCTGTGGAGTTCTTAAAGAAAAAAAGCAAAAACTCCGAGGTCTTCTGCTAAAACAGTTCACGGGGCTGGAGCTGAAACCACTTAGAGTGTCTATTTCAAATTAACCATCTAAAAGTGAAAAGAGATGCATATGCTGCTTCCACACAACCGTCCTGCAATGTTTCAGTCCCAATACATAACAGTGCCCATGGGCACCGCAGCTCACTGAAACCCAGATCTTTGCCAGCATAACATGGAGGAAAGGAGTAACATTCCAAAAGAGCACCAGCAGAGTCCAACTCAAATGGAGGATGCTGTCAGAATAGGTGGGCTGCTGTTAAGTTTCAGGCCAGAGGGGCACGGAGCAAAAACAGGCCATTGCAGGGGGGAAACGGCTGGGGCGTGGCCGCATCCTTAGAGGCGCTGAGCACAGACACTTACGTCGACTTGCTGTCTGCAGATTTCTTTGGCCTCCAGCAGGGCCACCAGGACGAAGGCTGTTAACGACACGTCCGGTTCCGCACCCTTATAGCCTCCCTAGGAAGACGGGGGGGGGGGGGGGCAACCCCTTAAAAACAGATAAAAGTATTAATTAAAATAAAAACTCCTAAGCCCCCAAGAACAGCGAATCTGCATTTGTCTTTCCCACCGGTGTCCCAGCCTTCTGACTCTGTCATCAGAAAAAAAACTGTCTACATTTGCTTTCTTTTTCACCAGGGCGTTTTTTGTAGAAAAAGCCCAGCAGAAACTCATTAGCATAATAGGCCACACCCAACAGCAGAGATCCATTAGCATATTAGGCCACACCCATGACAGCACAGCTCATTAGCATATTAGGCCACACCCCACACCCCAGGGCTTTTTTTTTTTGTAGCAGGAACTTCTTTGCATGTTAGGCTACACACCCCTAATGTAGCCAATCCTAATGAATGTCTGCGGTTAGGTGTGGCCTATTATGCTAATGAGTTCCTGCTGGGTGTGGCCAACTCAGGAGCCAGCCGGACCTCCGTTCCTGTGCATTCCCGCCAAGAAATAGCCCTGATGTTTGCACTTCAACTGTGCGAGTATAATTTTGCCTGCCTGCATATGTTTATCGCCCTCTCATGGCAGCTCCATTGTCACTGCGCCTCCACACCGCTTTAAATGAATCTTCTTCAAACAAGCACAAAGAAAGGCGGTGTCACAGCAGCACGGAACTGATTTCAAAATTCAAATGCAGATTCGACCAATGACGGTGCAGGCACCGCAAAAGAAGCATCAACACAGAAAGCCAGAGACAGCAGAACACAAGCCTGATAAGGTACTGATACGACCAGCAAGGAGGGTCCTACAGTCTGTTTTTAAACGGCTGAAACTGGCTGCAATCTGCCCACGAGAGCCCTCCCTCCCATCCTCTCTAGGGCGGGTCAGTTAAGCGCACGACCCACTGGCAGCAGCCATGGCAACAGGATTACTCAGGACTTTTCAGCCAAAGGGAAAACACTCTGCTGAAAGTGCCCTATACCAAGACAGACCTTGGTCTGTTGAGATGGGCATTATCACGGGGGATGGCTGTCCAGGGACTCAGGCAGGGGGGCATTGTAACACCTGCAACCCAGTCTTTTTAACTGGAGATGCCGGGGACTGAACCTAGGACCTTCTGCATGCCAAGCAGAGGCTCTGCCACTGAGGCCCTTTCTCCGTGGCACTGTTGGGCATAGCCAAGGAGAGGGGCTGTCAGTGCCTTCCCAAACCAGTGCTGATAAAATAAAATACAACCCTTGTTTAGAAGACAAAAAATTCCTAAAACACCACAGATTATGTAGTTCAATGCTCACCAATGCATAACACGGTTCTTACTCAATACTCCCTCTAAGCTGTGGAGTCTTGTGAGCACAAATTCTATCTTGTGAGCTACTGGCATTAAAGTGGTGAGCAAGCGATTTGAGTACTACATAAATTAGTTTGCTCTGGACTGCAGAGTACCCTCTAAGCTGAGTGAGTGTGAGCTAGCTCACAGTTTTTTAGCCTCTGGCTCACACCTTTTTGTCTTCGCTCAGGAAGGAGGACTCCAGAGCAAACTCATTTATGCAGTAGCCAAATGGCTCACTCACAGCTTTAAGGCCAGTGGCTCACAAAGTAGAATTTTTACTCACAAGATTGCACCGCTTAGAGGGACCATTGCTCTGGAGCCCTCCTTCCTGAGCGAAGACAAAAATGTGTGAGCTGGAGGCTAAAAAACTGTGAGCTAGCTCACACTCACTCAGCTTAGAGGGGACACTATGTCTAAGGCTGCGATCGCACGCGCCAGTAAATCCGACATAGGCGTGAATGCCCGATGGATCTAAAGGGCGCGATCAGACAGCAACATCTGGCAAGTGTCCTGCAGTTGTCAGCAACCCGTGCTGCTCTGCCATAGAAGTGGAGTAAAAAGACATTGGGGGAAAAACTGATAATAAACAGGTTGTGACGGGCCACGGATGGACTTTCCCCTGTCTGATCTGGGAAGCACGCATGCATGCCATCGGGATGGTCTGATCAGGCCATCCTAGGTCAGTGCCATCCCCTTCCTTCGCAGTATGCGCATCATTGCATACCCATAGGGGCCCCTCGGTGCAGAGGTGCGATTCCTCATTTATGCACATGGGAAACAACCCAACTCACCTGCAGTTGCATCTGGCCACACAGTGATGGGCTGAGCCCGCAGCTAAGAAGGGAGCTGTGATCTCGCAACTGCAGGTCAAATTACTCCGGGGGGAATAGCCTTGCTTCCCCTCCGCTTCAAGAGACGCGTGTGACCGCAGCCTAAGCATATCTATTAGATGTGAGTCTTGCCTGGTAGGAGATGATCAACTACTGCTTTTTTGCATGGCAGTAGATTATCAATCTACTGCACCCAGGCCCCGGTCACATGGGCCAGATAACGTGGGGGGGGAGGTGTGGCTGTTTGACCCGGAGCAAAATAAAGCACGGTAGCCCGATCACACGTTCCCCTGAGTCTTTGCGCTTAGGTTGTTAGCTGGCGATCACACGGCGATGCTGGAGCGTGGCAAAGAAGCAACGTGGCAAGCGTTTTGCGTTTGTGTGCATGCGCAGTTCCTCGGAGCAGCACTGCTTTCAGTTACGTGTTTGTGCGCATGCGCTTACGAAAAACATCCGGTTTCCGACGGGACGTGGATGGATGCTGGATGCCGCGGGATACGAGTGCTCCCACAATCAGACGCCCGCCCCTGCCCCGCGTTTTTCGGATATTAGTGCACTTTCCGAGTACTTTTTTACTGCGCATCTTCGGTGGGACACCCCGGGTGGGCCACGGGTGCGCTACGCTTCCCAGATGTTGCGGTGTGATCGCGCCCCAAAAATCCACCTGACATTCGTGCCTTTAGCGTGGCAAATCCTCCGTGTGACCGGGGCCCCAGTCTGGTTTTTATTTTGGAATTGAACTCTAGATTGTAACATCATGCCCTCATCGTATAATATCGCTGGGGGTTTAGGTGCCCCTGTTCTTTCAGGGGTAGAAAGATACAGCAGTGGGAGGAGTGTAGTTATAAGAAGAACTCGGAGATATGGATATGCTCAGTGTCCTTCTAGTCTACATCCCCTCTTTTTGTTGCAGGAACTTCCTTGCATATTAGGTGACACACCCCTAATGTAGCCAATCCTCCAAGAGCTTACAGTAGCCCCTGAAAGAAGAGCTCTGTAAGCTCTTGGAGGATTGGCTATGTTGGGGGGGGGGGCGGTGTCGCCTAATATGCAAAGGAGCTCCTGCTACAAAAAGAGCCCCGGATAACAGCATGCTGGTGTCTGGAGTGATTCCCTCTTGATATTGTGCAATGCCCGGTCAGTACGGCATAAGATCACTGTACTTCGGGATATTATCCTGTATGGCAACTTCGATCCCTGTCAAGAGGTCCCAAACCATTAAAAACCATAACCTGCCATGACCTGAGACTTCAGGTACACAGAATACTTTCCTCCAGTTCTGGAGATGATCAGAACACCTTTTTACATCTCTCTGTAACCTGGACTAGGATAGCCCAGGCGAATCCACTCCCACCAGACACCAGAAGTTAAGCAGGGTCGGTCTTGGTGAATATTTGTATGGGAGACCACCAGTGGTTCCCGTGCAGAGGCAGGCAAGGGCAAACCACCTCTGAACATCCGTAAGTCCTGATGAGAAGGGGCCAGGCTAGGCCGCCCAGGTCGGGGCTCGACTATAACTACCACCAGGGAAAGTTAGTGGCAAGATCGGAGGGCTCGCAGCGCCAACGTGTGCCCTCTTTAGTGAGCTTCTCTCGTGCCACCGGCTGGCAGCTGTCGTCAGTAAAAGGCGAAGACCTCCAGCTCAAACACACGACAACAACTCTTGTGCTGCATTTTTCAGAGATAGGAACGTCGAAAGCCCGGGACTTTGCCCGGTCAAGTCACGCCCACAGTGTCAATCAAACATACCAACATCTCCCCGTGGATCACGGGGGCGTCTTCCTGGAACATTCCATCCGGCTTTTGCTTTTCCCAGAATCAGCCATTTCACAGCTCCGCAGATGACCTTGGCATCGATGTTTGTCTCGATAGGCTTAGCCATGGCAAAGACTTTTGCGACGTATGCCGTTAGCCTGAAAGGAAGGCGGTGTGTCAGCCCAGCCTGCTCCAGTTTCTCAGGGTAGTGAGGAGGCGGGGATGGCAAGGTGATACGTGGGCTATGCCAACAAAAGTCTGTATGGTCAAAGTGATGGTATTCCCAGTAGTAATGCATGGCTGCGAGAGCTGGACCATGAGTGGAGATTGGATTGGATTTATACCCCGCCCTTCACTACCCGAAGGAGTCTCAGAGCGGCTTACAAACTCCTTTCCCTTCCCCTCCCCACAACAGACACCCTGTAAGGGATGGAATGGCAACGTATCCTTTACTGCAAATCCAGGAGGAGCCAATGATATCCCCGTGCAAGAGGCGGGAAGGGAGAGCCTTCCTGCGGCCTGGCATGTTTCGCTGCTTCATCTGAACCGGGCCATCAGTAGGGTTGCCAGGCCTGGTTTGGGAAATACCTGGAGACTTTGGGGATGGATCCAGAAGGGGGCAGGGTCTGGGGAGGGGAGGGGCCTCAGCTTGGTACAACGCCACAGAGTCCCACCTTCCAAAGCTGCCATTTTCCCCAGGGGAGATGATCTCTGTCAGCTGGAGATCAGTTGTGAAAGCGGGGGATCTCCAGGCCCCACCTGGAGGCTGGCAAGCCTAGCCATCAGGAAGCTCCTTCGCTACCGGCCTGGGTGCCAAGAAGGTTCTAGTGCAGGGGTGTCAAACATAAGGCCCGGGGGCCGGATCTGGCCCATCCGGGGCCACACTTACCAAGTGCTGGACGGGCGGTTAGTAAACGCAGCGTAGGAGTTGTCTGCCTTCTTGTACGCCAGTTGCTGTGCGTAACCTGGAAAAGGAGGAGAAAGCAGGAAGCGATGAGGTCTGGGCCCAGCTTTTTCCGAAGCACGGTGGAACCAACACCTCTCCCCCTGCTGCGCTCCTTGCCTGAACCGGCAGGAAGGGAACAAGGGCGCCCACGAGAACAGAGGTGTCAAACTCATTTGTTACGAGGGCCGGATCTTACATGAATGTCTCTTCGTCGGGCCAGGCCATGTGCAGTGTTCCCTCTAAGCTGAGTGAGTGTGAGCCAGCTCACAGTTTTTTAGCCTCCGGCTCACACGTTTTTGTCTCCACTCAGGAAGGGAGGGCTCCGGAGCAAACTAATTCATGCAGGAGCCCAATCGCTCACTCACAACTTGAATGCCAGGAGCTCACAAAGTAGAATTTTTTGCTCACAGGACTCCACAGCTTAGAGGGAGCATCGGCCAAGTGTACCATAAAATGTAATGCTGGGCACCGGAGATAGAAACCGCATAAAGGACAGCAGCTGGTCAGCTCCGAGTTTTTGCATCCTCACTGCAAGGCCCCGTGGGCTGGGAGGGGGGGTGCGAAGGAAAACCCGCATGGGCGGACCGGAGAGCCAGCAGTGCAGTGCTGGGCAGGGCAGGGCAGATGCTCCCACGATGCTTGGCCGCTGCAGGCGAGGTTATTCTGCCGTGCTAAAGCCATAATGGAGTGGCTCCGCCCACTCGCCCCCCCCCAGCACTCCCTCCCTTGCATCAGTTGCTTGCAGGCTGGGTAGGAGCCCTGGACGGGCCGGATCCGGCCCCCGGGCCTTATGTTTGACACCCCTGCACTAGAACCTTCTTGGCACCCACCAAGTGTTTTTAGAAAGCGGGGGAGGCCAGGTGGGGCTCTTGCCCAGCGGGGCTTCTGATTGGCCACGGGAGGTCTGATTGGCCGTGCAGGTTAAAATAATATTATTTCAGCATCAGCTGCCACCATAGGCAGTTATATTCTCTCTCCTACTCCTCTTTCTCAGAGATCTTTTTTTAAAAAATTATCCTTCTCCTCCCCTGCACTTGGTCTCCCCCTGTGTTTCTGCGCGTGGCTCCGCCTCCCGTGACAGCCACAAAATGGCACAACCTCCTAGGGCGGCCTTTTTCGGGGTGGCACCCATCAGCCCCGTGTAACAATTCCGAAGGGCCCACAGACTCAAAAGAGGTTGGGGATCCCTCCCCCCCCCCGAGTCTGATGAT